GTAGAGTCTCAAACAGTTTGGTATCGTTAGTTTTCATCAAGTTAAGCATGTTGTTTCTCAAACAGTATGGTATCGATAGTTTTCATGAGGTTAAGCAAGCAGAATCTCAAACAGTGTTGTATCGTTAGTTTTCATGAACATAAGCATGTAGAGTCTCAAACAGTTTGGTATCGTTAGTTTTTATCAAGTTAAGCATGTTGTTTCTCATACAGTATTGTATCGATAGTTTTAATGAAGTTAAGTAAGTAGTTTCACCGCCAGTGTTATATCGTAAGTTTTCATGAAATTAAGCATGTAGTTTCTCACACAGTGTTGTATTGGTAGTTTTCATGAAGTTAAGCAAGTAGTTACACAAACAGTGTTGTATCGTTAGTTTTCATGGAGTTAAGCGCGTACTTTCACAAACAATGTTGTATCGTTAGTTTTCATGAACTTAAGCTTGTAGAGTCTCAAACAGTTTGGTATCGTAATTTTTCATGAAAATAAGCATGTAGTTTCTCACACAGTGTTGTATCGTTAGTTTTCACGAAATTAAGCATGTAGTTTCTCACACAGTGTTGTATGTGTATTTTTCATGAAGTTAAGCAAGTAGTTACACAAACAGTGTTGTATCGTTAGTGTTCCTGATCGATACAATAGTGTTTGAGGAACAACATGCTTAACTAGCTGAACACTATTGCATCGATAGTTTTCATGAAGTTCAGCAAGTAGTGTCACAAACAAAGTTGTATCGTTAGTTTTCATGAACATAAGCATGTAGAGTCTCAAAGAGTTTGGTATCCTTAGTTTTCCTCAAGTTAAGCATGTTGTTTTTCAAACAGTATTGTATCGATAGTTTTCATGAAGGTAAGAAGGTAGTTTCACAACCAGTGTTATATCGTTAGTTTTCATGAAATTAAGCATGTAGTTTCCCACACAGTGTTGTATCGGTAGTTTTCATGAAGTTAAGCAAGTAGTTACACAAACTGTGTTGTATCGTTACTTTTCATGGGGTTAAGCGTGTAGTTTCAGAAACAATGATGTATCGTTAGTTTTCATGATCATAAGCATGTAGAGTTCAAACAGTTTGGTATCGTAAGTTTTCGTGAAATTAAGCATGTAGTTTCTCACACAGTGTTGTATTGGTAGTTTTCATGAAGTTAAGCAAGTAGTTACACAAACAGTGTTGTATCGTTAGTTTTCATGGAGTTAAGCGTGCAGTTTCACTAACAATGTTGTATAGTTAGTTTTCATGAACATAAGCATGTAGAGCCTCAAACAGTTTGGTTTCGTTAGTTTTCATCAAGTTAAGCATGTTTTTTCTCAAACAGTATTGTATCGATAGTTTTCATGAAGTTAAGCAAGTAGTTTCACAACCACTGTTATATCGTTAGTTTTCATGAAATTAAGCATGTAGTTTCTCACACAGAGTTGCATCGGTAGTTTTCATGAACTTAAGAAAGTAGTTACACAAACTGTGTTGTATCGTTAGTTTTCATGGAGTTAAGCGTGTAGTTTCACAAACAATGTTGTATCATTATTTTTCATGAACATAAGCATGTAGAGTTCAAACAGTTTGGTATCGTGAGTTGTCATGAAATTAAGCATGTAGTTTCTCACACAGTGTTGTATCGTTAGTTTTCATGAAATTAAGCATGTAGTTTCTTACACGGTGTTGTATGTGTATTTTTAATGAAGTTAAGCAAGTAGTTACACAAACAATGTTGTATCGTTAATTTTCATGAACATAAGCATGTAGAGTCTCTAACAGTTTGGTATCGTTAGTTTTGACCAAGTTAAGCATGTTGTTTCTCAAAAAGTATTGTATCGATATTTTTCATGAAGTTAAGCAAGCAGATTCTCAAACAGTGTTGTATCGTTAGTTTTCCTGAAGTTTAGCTTGTAGTTTCTCAACAGTTTTTTATTATGAATTTTCATGAAGGTAAGCGTGTAGTTTCACAAACAATGTTGTATCGTTAGTTTTCATGAACATAAGCATGTAGAGTCTCAACCAGTTTGGTATCGTTAGTTTTCATCAATTTAAGCAATTTGTTTCTGAAACACTATTGTATCGATAGTGTGTATGAAGTTAAGCAAGTAGTTTCACAACCAGTGTTATATCGTAAGGTTTCATGAAATTAAGCAAGTAATTACAGTGTTTTATCGTTAGTTTTCATGGAGTTAAGCGCGCAGTTTTACAAAAAATGTAGTATCGTTAGTTTTCATGAACATAAGCATGTAGAGTCTCAAACTGTTTTGTATCGTTAGTTTTCATCAAGTTAAGCAAGTTGTTTCTCAAACACAATTGTATCGATAGTGTTCATGAATTTAAGCAAGTATTTTCACAATCAGTGTTATATCGTTAGTTTTCATGAAGTTAAGCAAGAAGTTACTCAAACAGTGTTGTATCGTTAGTTTTCATGGAGTTAAGCGGGCAGTTTCACAAAAAATGTAGTATCATTAGTTTTCATGAACATAAGCATGTAGAGTCTCAAACAGTTTGGTATCATAAGTTTTCATGAAATTAAGCATGTAGTTTCTCACGCAGTGTTGTATGTGTATTTTTAATGAAGTTAAGCAAGTAGCTACACAAACAATGTTGTATCGTTAATTTTCATGAACATAAGCATGTAGAGTCTCAAACAGTTTGGTATCGTAAGTTGTCATGAAATTAAGCATGTAGTTTCTCACACAGTGTTGTATCGTTAGTTTTCATGAAATTAAGCATGTAGTTTCTCACACAGTGTTGTATGTGTATTTTTAATGAAGTTAAGCAAGTAGCTACACAAACAATGTTGTATCGTTAATTTTCATGAACATAAGCATGTAGAGTCTCAAACAGTTTGGTATCGTATAGTTGTCATGAAATTAAGCATGTAGTTTCTCACACAGTGTTGTATCGTTAGTTTTCATGAAATTAAGCATGTAGTTTCTCACACAGTGTTGTATGTGTATTTTTAATGAAGTTAAGCAAGTAGCTACACAAACAATGTTGTATCGTTAGTTTTCATGAACATAAGCATTTAGAGTCTCAAAGAGTTTGTTATCGTTAATTTTGACCAAGTTAAGCATGTTGTTTCTCAAACAGTATTGTATCGATATTTTTCATGAAGTTTAGCAAGCAGATTCTCACAACCAGTGTTGTATCGTTAGTTTTCATGAAGTTTAGCTTTTAGTTTCTCACACAGTGTTGTATTGTGAATTTTCATGAAGTTAAGCGTGTAGTTTCACAAACAATGTTGTATCGTTAGTTTTCATGAACATAAGCATGTAGAGTCTCAAACAGTTTGGTATCGTTAGTTTTCATCAAGTTAAGCATGTTGTTTCTCAAACAGTATTGTATCGATAGTTTTCATGAAGTTAAGCAAGTAGTTTCACAACCAGTGTTATATCATTAGTTTTCATGAAATTAAGCATGTAGTTTCTCACACAGTGTTGTATTCGTATTTTTCATGAAGTTAAGCAAGTAGTTACACAAACAGTGTTGTATCGTTAGTTTTCATGGAGTTAAGCGTGTAGTTTCACAAACAATGTTGTATCGCTTGTTTTCATGAACATAAGCATGTAGAGTCTCAAACAGTTTGGAATCGTTAGTTTTCATCACGTTAAGCATGTTGCTTCTCAAACAGTATTGTATCGATAGTTTTCATGAAGTTAAGCAAGTAGTTTCACAACCAGTTTTGTATTGTGAATTTTCATGAAGTTAAGCGTGTAGTTTCACAAACAATGTTGTATCGTTAGTTTTCATGAACATAAGCATGTAGAGTCTCAAACAGTTTGGAATCGTTAGTTTTCATCACGTTAAGCATGTTGCTTCTCAAACAGTATTGTATCGATAGTTTTCATGAAGTTAAGCAAGTATTTTCAGCACCAGTGTTATATCGTAAGGTTTCATGAAATTAAGCAAGTAGTTACACAAACAGTGTTGTATCGTTATTTTTCATGGAGTTAAGCGTGTAGTTTCACAAACAATGTTGTATCATTAGTTTTCATGAACATAAGCATGTAGAGTCTCAAACAGATTGGTATCGTTAGTTTTCTTCAAGTTAAGCATGTTGTTTCACAAACAGTATTGTATCGATACTTTTCATGAAGTTAAGCAAGTAGTTTCACAACCAGTGTTATATCATTAGTTTTCATGAAGTTAAGCAGGTAGATACACAAACAGTTATGTATCATTAGTTTTCATGGAGTTAAGCGCGTAGTTTCACAATTTCCGCACCTCCTCCGAGCGATGCCTGCGCCTTGGCCCCGAAGCCTCCAGGCCCGTTGCCGCCGCCTCCATCCCGGCCTTGGCCAAGCTGGGGTGTGTGTGTGTGGTGGCCGGGCCAGCTTGGGTGGGGTCTCGGCGCTGTGCGTGAGCCTGTCCCGCAGCGGGCCGGGCCTCCTGCAAGGTGTCGGGGAGGAGGGAGACGGGGGTGTGTCTCTCGTCCGCGGGCGCCGAGACCGCCTCGCCGATTCCCCTCGCGCCGTGGCGCCGCGGTGCGTGTGGGAAGAGGCGGGGAGGGCCGGCGTCTCCTTTTTTCCCCACCCCCTCTCCGCTCTTTCTCCCAAAGAGCCGGGGTAGACCAGTACTCCCGAGGGGCGGGGCCTCCTTCTTTCCCTCCCGTCGGGGTAGCGGGTCGACCAGATGTCCCGACCCGACCTCCCCCGGTTTTTGGGAAGTGTCCCGAGGGCGGGTCGACCAGATGTCCAGTTGGACTTTTTTTTTTTTAATATATAAAGGTCGACCAGTTCTCTTATTTTCTGTTTTTATTTTTCCTCCCCTCCCCAAATGTTTGGGGGTCGACCAGTTGTCTGAATGAATGAGGGTCGACCAGTTGTCCTAATGAGGTTTTTTTTTTTTTAAGTATTATAAAAGTCCACATCGAGGTCGACCAGTTGTCCCTATTTTTGGTACATCCATCTATGGGCTTATTCATTACCTGCTCCTTCATTGGTCGAATTATTGATTTATTCATCTATTTAAATTGTTTATTATCTGAGTTTTTTCTTTTTTCTGTGTGTGTGACAGAGATCATCTACTTATTTTATTTACCTACCTACCTACCTGTTAATTATTTACTTTTTATTATTTGTGTTGTGTGTGTGTGCGTGCATGTACACTTCTATACCAGCAGATGGCGGTAGATCCTCTGTTTCTCTATCTATGTATCTACTTATTCACCCATTTATCTGTGCATCCTTTACTTGTTTCATTAACAAATTATTTATTTATTTATTTATTTATTTATTTATTTATTTGTGAGTCCGCATGTACACTTCTATATTATAAAAGTCAACATCGAGGTCGACAAAGCGAAGTAAGTACTTACCTGTATGTGTATCTATGGACTTATTTGTTACCTCCTCCTTCATTGAGCGGAGTATTTATTCATTTATTTATTTATTTATTTATTTATTTGTTTGTTTGTTTGTTTGTTTACTTATTTATTATTTATCTATCCATTTATCTATTTAATTTGTTTATTATCTGAGTTTTTTTCTTTTTCTGTGTGTGTGTGTGAGAGAGAGAGAGAGAGCATCCACTTATTTTATTTACCTACCAGTTAATTATTTTTTATTATTTGTATGTGTGCATGTACACTTCTATACCAGCAGATGGCGGTAGATCCTCTCTGTTTCTCTGTCTATCCATGTATGTACCTATTCACCCATTTATCTGTGCATCCTTTACTTATTTCATTTACAAATTAATTGTTCATCCATTTATTTATTTATTCATTTCTTTATTTATTTGTGAGTCCACACGTACACTTCTATACCAGCAGAGCGCATTAGATCTGTCTCTCTCTCTCTCTCTCTCTCTCTCTCTCTCTCTCTCTCTCTCTGTATCTACTTATTCGTTTATTTTATCTGTGCATCCTTATTTCATTAACTAATTATTTATTTACTTAATAGTCCTGTTTGTCTATACATTTATTTACCTCCCTACCTACTTGTTATTTATTTATTTGTGTGTGTGTGTGTGTGTGAGAGAGAGAGAGAGAGAGAGAGAGAGAGAGAGAGAGCGTGTATGCGCATGTACACCTCTATATCAGCAGAGGGCAGTAGATCCTAGGACATTGATTTGAAGTCAGGATTTTCTGTCCTTCCTTATTATTATTATTATTCTTTATTTTTTGCTTTTATCATTTGCTCATTTGTTAGAGACAGGTTCCCTCCAACACTAACACCATGGGTTTGTTGTTGCTGCTGATTGTTTGTTTTTAAGTGGATTTTTAATATTTGGGATTTCAGATCGATTTTCTTAATTTGGGGTTGTTTCCTGGGATATGGTTGATCAGATCTGCCTGCCTGTCTGTCTGTCTGTCTGTCTGTCTGTCTGTCTGTCTGTCTGGTGTTGGTGGGTCGTCAGTCCGTCCGTTTGCAATATGTATGTCTTCATTGTTTTTGTTTCTCTCTCTCTAGCCCTGGAAACATCTTTCTGAGAAGAACACGCTGGCCTCCAAGTCACTCCTGCTGTGCACACACAGAAATCACTGGTGAGCTGCTGCTACTACTACTACTACTACTACTACTACTACTACTAGAAAGCAAGCACCATTTTATTGTTCCCTAAAACTACTCACATTAACCAATTTCTTTTCTTGTGTTTAATCAGAGATCCACCTGCCTGTCTGTCTGTGACATGCAAAAGAAGAAGAAGAAGAAACTTCATCACCCCAACATAAAAAGGAAGACTCCTGCTTCACTCAGGCGATACAGGTCCTGAGCGGCTGTGTGGAGACTGCCATGATCTGAGGATCCATTCTCCCAGGAGCATTTCATTGAGAAAATATAGTTGCACCTAGGATTAAACGGGAGACGAGGGGAATACGAACTCTGGGTGGGTGGGTCTTATGACAGGCACCAGCCATCGATAGGCTGTTGTTTGTTTTGATTTTTGAAAAAAAAATTTTTTTGAGACTCGATTTTGACCAAGATGGCCCCTCTGGCTCACTGATAAAGTGAGCTGAGCACTGGGATTAAAGGCGTGCACCAACACTTCCAGGCCAGACCAGTCATATGTTAATGTGAAGGCCATTGAGTTCCTTCCAAGAGAATGAGTGGAGGAGGCCCTCCCTTACACAAAATGCCTGACCTGTCTGGGGGAAGCAGGTGCTTAATGACACTGCCATCTCTGCCCTACTAGCTCCCCTACTAGTATTCCTGTTCTTGGTGTTCCTTCCTTAGGAGGGCACAGTGGAATTCCTGTTCCCCTGGTTTCGGGGATTTTATTTTTCCCATAAAGAATCATTTTGTTTAGAGAGCCCTCATTGGCTGTAAACAAGTGAATAAATGGATGGACCGATAAATGAATGAATGGATGAATAAATAAATAAATAAATAAATAAATAAATGAAACTTTCCATTGTTTATTGACTTTTAATTTCATTGGAGCTCCCTCAAATCCCCGCCCACACCCCTCCGTGTCCCCAGCCACCAGTCCCTGCCTGACTGCCTGCCAACAAACAAACAAAATAAAAAAAACTCAACCTAATACACTGGGCCACAGACATTGAAAAGAACTCAGGGGTGGCTGTATCATGACACAAAGAGAATATTAAGGGGGAGGGGGAAATGAAACAGATCATCTCAGAGGCCTGGTCAATTTTTCTTTTTTTCTGGATTTCTCTGTAGCTTTGGAGGCTATCGTGGATCTAGAGCAGACTGCCCCTGCCTTCCAAGTGATGGTATTAAAGGTGTGAGCCACAACCGCCCAGCACACAAATGCTTGTGGTTTGTTGCTTTGTGAATGTTTTCAGACAGGGTTTCCGTGTGTAACAGTTCTGGCTGTGCTGGAACTCACTTTGAGGACCAGGCTGACCTCCAACTCACAGACAGAGATCCACCTGCCTCTGGTCTAATTTTAAAAGGAGAGATCAATTTTGGGTTCAGCGGGTGTGTGGGATCAGTGGGAATACGTGTTATTAAACTGGTGCTGCCATCCTGTTTTATCCTCCTGGAGTTTGCACATGGTTGCTTCCACCTTGGTGAACCAGCCACACCTTCCTTATCCAGAAGAATTTGAACACACACGGTGGTAGAAAGAAACACATGAACAGAATTTTAAATTAAACTGAATTTATAAGATAAGGAAACCAGTTACACACACACACACACACACACACACACACACACACCGCAGAAGACTTGGGCGAGGGAGCTGCTGGGAGCCTGTGAGATGGTACACTGGTGTTCTAGGGGAGGGCTCCTGAGTCCAATCCACTATGATGGTGCCTTTGGTACATCATCAAGGATGAGAGCACAATGAACACACATGCCTGTCACCACCCAAGCACACATGTCTGCTTGCCTGCCTGCCTGCCTGCCTGCCTGCCTGCCCACCTACCCGCCTGCCCACCCATCCGTCTGGCTGTGAAGGAACCCTGCAAGAGAGTGCCCGATGCCTTAGGAAGTCAGAAGAAAGGGGTGGGTCTGCTGAATTTAGAGTCATGGAATGGCTGCCAGCTGCGTGTTGGCTACCATGTGGATGGTGGAACATGAACCCACAAAAACGAGAGACACGGCAGACAGGAGGACCTGGAAATACACTATATTCCATGTTATGTCTGAGGTGCCTCCTACTTACCTGAAACCAAAACAAATCCTTCCAAACATCAAGCTGTCTGTCTGTCCCCTCCCTCCCTCCCTCCCTCCATCCCTCCCTCCCGACAGAATTGGAAAGGGAGACCTCCTGAATAAATTGGGAGTACAGGGGGGGCAGGATAGTTGAGGGAAAAGTGGAGGATGGGGGGAAGAGAACATGCACAGGATCAGGAAGGATGAAGTAGGGCATGAACAGAGAAGGAGACCAAGGATACCTTAATAGAGGGAGCCATTGTGGGTTTAAGGAAAAATCTGGCATTAGGGAATTCCCCAGGGATCCACAAGTAAGATGAACCCCAACAAGCAAAACAAAACAAAACAAACAAACAACAAACAAACAAACAAACAAACAAACAAAACCACCTAGCAGCAGCTTTTAGGTGTTGCAGAATCCTCAGGGACAGACACTCACTTAGACAAAACTTTAAAAATTTTAAATTTAAAAAATTTAAATGTGGCCTGGAGAAAAGGGACCTGTTCATCTGCTGCTGAACTGCATGTCATGTGCCACTCTAGTGCTACTGACCATAGAACTTTCATCACCAAGGCATGTTAGATTTCTGCTTTTTTGATATTTCAGCTTTGATGATGTTATGAAATGTCATCTGGTTGGTTTGTGTTTGATTTTTTTACTTTTAATTTTTTAATTTTATTTGAGCTCTTAGATATTTTTAAGGAGGGCAATGAGTGTTGTAATAAATTTCCTCATAGGAATGATTTCACTGTGTGCTAGGGTTTGTGTAGTGATTTAATTTTCTTGAGGGAATCTCTCTCTCTCTCTCTCTCTCTCTCTCTGTCTCTGTCTGTCTGTCTGTCTCTCTCTCTCTCTCTCTCTCTCTCTCTCTCTCTCTGTCTCTCTCTGTCTCTCTCTCTGTCCTCTCTCTGTCACACACACACACACACACACACATTCATTAATTCTAGTTTTGTTTTCTCTCATTCCTCACACACTGATGAATGAGTTATTTTATCTCCACTACCATGGGCTCTGGTGTACCCACATACCAGGGAGGGCGAGGCCCTCCTTGGGAGGGATCTCTAAATTCTGTCATTTCATTCAGGGCAGGTCCTAGGCCCATCCCCTTGTGTCCAGCCTGAGGCAGCATCCCTCTATTTGGAACAGGCTCCCAAAGCTCATTCATAAACCATGGTAAAGACTGATCTACTACCCAAGGCCCCAGTGGTTTCTGTGGCCTCCTCCCTGAAACTGCATCCATGGAGTCTGGATCCGTCCCCTGTTGGCCTCTCATCCATCAGTCTGGGATTCAAGAGCTGTCTTTGTGGGTTTCATCATCATGGTCTTGACCGCTCTACTCACCGCTCCTCCATCTCTGTCACTAGGTTCCAGGAGTTCAGTTCAGTGTTTAGCTGTGGGTATCTGTCTCTCTGTCTCTGTTTCTGGATGAAGGTTCTAGGATGGCATATAAGGTAGTCATCGACCTTATCATCAGGGAAGGGCTATTAATGTAGTCTATTATGGTATCTGTCGTCCTGCTCTCCTCTATTCTTAGCCTCGACTGTACCTGCCAGATAGGTCCACCATAACTTCTTCTCCCCTCTCTTTTTTCTGGATCACTCTCCCTTCCCCCGATGTTCCCAATCTGCTCAGGAGATCTCACCTCATTCCACTTCTCTGGGGTATAATGCATAGCTCTTGGAAACCTCCCTGTTTCGCAGACTCAAAGGCACTGGGGTTGTATGCTGACACTCCCCTGATCCATATCTCAAATCCATATATGAGTGAGTACATACCATGTTTGTCTTTTTTGATACTGGGTTTCCTCACTCGGGATGGTTTCTTCTAGTGCCATCCATTGTGTAAATGTACCACATTTTCTCTATCCACTCTTCAGTTGTGGGGCATCTAGGTTGCTTTAGGATCTGAGCTCTTAGAAATTTTTTTTAAGGCAGGGTTTCTCTGTGGTTTTGGAGGCTGTCCCAGAAATAACTCTTGTTAGATACACCTGCCTCCGCCTCCCGAGTGCTGGAAGTAAAGGTGTGCACCACCAATAATCTCTTAGATTATTTTTAAAGGTGGGCACTAGAGGTGTAAATTTCCTCATATGACTGATTTTACTGTGTGCCAGGAGTAGTAGTTGCAGAGTGCTTTCTATTCACTCTCTCTCTCTCTCTGTCTCTCTGTCTCTCTGTCTCTGTCTCTGTCTCTGTCTCTGTCTCTGTCTCTGTCTCTCTCTCTCTCTCTCATTTGGCCTGGCACACGGAAAGTATTCCTGGACAGTAAGACTTTTCTACACATTGAGAAACACTGTCTCAAATAAAATATAAAAGTGACCTGGCCTGAAGCCCAGGCAGGCAGAGCTTACTCCTTCCCTCATAATTCAGATTCCCAGCACTGTTTTTGTTTATTTGTTTGGTTGCAAGTAGATTATAGTGTGTTTATGACTTTGTATTTAATTATATAGTTTTTCTTGTTGTTTTGTGTTTTGGTTTTGGTTTTCGGAGAGAGAGACAGGGTCTACTTGTATCATCCTGGCTGTCCTGTTACTACATAAACCAGGATGGTCTCTAACTCTGAGAGACCAGCAGGCCTCTGCCTCCCAAGTGTTGGGATGAAAAGCACCCACCTCTCAGAAAATTTAAACTTCTCTCTCTCTCTCTCTCTCTCTCTCTCTCTCTCTCTCTCTCTCTTTCTTCCTTCCTTTCTTCTACCTTGTATGTTTGTTTGTTTGGTTGGTTAGCCCTGCTAGTTCCTGGCATTATAGTTGATGATGTTTGTTATCATCCTTCAGTGCTGGTTGAACTGTGGACAGACAGATGCAGGGATGGGACTTGCACACAGACACAGACATAGACACACACACACACACACACACACAGACACAACATGCACACATGCACAGCTACGGGGAGCACTGTAATGTGCAAGGTGCTGTCAGTCAGTATGGAAATGAGTGACTAGTTGATACCTTTTAAGACTGTACCGTTGTGAGTGGGATTCGATTGGCAAAGAGAGGCTTGGGAGCTGGGGTGTGGTTTTGAGATTGGGCGTTGAGGAATGTATCTCGGACCTTGAGGCTCCAGTCATATGTTAATGGAAGCTCCACAGGTGACCTTGAGTGTCCTGTAGCTCACTTGGTTTTGAGTATCTTGTTCTGGTATAAGTACAGGGACAAATGTCCCAAAAGTGAGTGCCTTCTTGTAGTCTTATAAAGAGACCTCTGGCTTCTCTCTTTATTAACACAAATCAGAACTATAAAAATGTTTATCTGAAGCCATAATTTTCAGCAGGGAGGGCGGTGGTGGTACACGCCTTTAATCCCAGCAGTCGGGAGGCAGAGGCAGGCGGATCTCTGTGAGTTCCAGACCCAGCCTCCTGGTCTACAAGATCTAGTACCAGGACAGCCTCCAAAGCCACAGAGAGACACTGTCTCAAAAAACAAAACAAAACAAAACAAAACAAAAAAAGCAAATAAACATACATACAAAAAAGCAAAAAGTAACAAAACAAAACACCTTTTCATATTGAGTGCATAATTGAATTTGAGGCCCCCTTGCAAATCACAACTTGCATTATGGCAGTTGGAAGAAAGGCTTTAAAGGAAAACTAACACATAGATTTGGCAAAAGCACAACAGACATGATTCTAGTCTGATATGATAACCTACTAGGAAGTTTTAAATTAAAAGTGCTTAAGCTAATAAGTCTTCCTTTTGCAAATCAGTGCATCTTCTCTGTGTGAGGACAAATCAAAGGAAGTCCTCGCTTGTACATGTGGGATATTGTTGACCCTCCTCTTTGC